CTCTCTCTCTCTCTCCCTCTCTCTCTCCCTCTCTCTCTCTCTCTCTGAGTCTCTGTCTCTCTCCTTTTCTCTCTCCCCTCCCTTTTGGTCTCTCCTGTCTCTGTCTCCTTCTCTCACGTTCCCCTCCCTCCCAGTTCACATTTTCTGAGTTGGAAGCTAAGTTCAAAGCTTTGCCACCTACCTAGGGCCACACAGCGAATCCCCACTGGGTCACATTTCTTCTGTGGAACAGAGAGAATCTGAGCTCTGAGCCGCACAGTGAGAAATGGGACAGAGCCCTTTCAAAACGGGAGCCCTGGCAGTCAGAACTTCCTATACCTTCAGAGGAAGGTTCCCCGCTCACTCAGGCTCCTGGACCAATCTTTTAGCTACAGTTCTTCCCAGGCAGGTCAAGAAAGGATTCTGGGACCCTTTCGTGGAGTCAGTGAGACCGGTGTTCAGGGAACTCAAGCCTGGGGATGTCTGTCCCAGCATTCCCAGTGACACCGGCCCGCTTTAAAGCTGTCTCAGGAGCAGGCTTGGCAGTGTTCCAGACCTCCGCTCTTGTCTGCGTAGTTTTGAATCTCTCCACCTTAACCTCTCAGTTTCTCCAGCCGTGCTTTCTTCTTTTCTTTCCTCTAGGAAGTGAGGGGTCCTGCTCCTGTTCTGCTAACTTCTCCATCCACCCTGTCCCCTGCTTCCCTTCCCCTGCCCAGGGGCTGTCTTGCCTCATTCATTCCTATAAACCTTTCCCATTGGTTTGATAAAGATTTATTGAATGAATGGGCTGAAGGTGAGAAGGGGCAAATTCTAATGCATTTTACCCCAGCCTCCTAGAAAACAAATTTAGAGACTTCGCTAGGAATTCCCTTTCATGCTGGGGTGCTCAGGAAAATGTGCCTCACCACTAATTGCAAGGGGGCTAAAGGAAGCGGTCATGTCGCGTGCCTCCAGGGCTCCACTTCTGTGGCGGACAGGCCAGTACCCACTCAACGGTTTTGGAGATTCCGGGGAATCTCCCTCCCTCTCTCAGCTAATTATTGTGGGCGGGGCTAAGCAATCAGCCAATCACATTCCCTGGCCACAGTGATTCGTTCAGTGGTGGGGTATTGGATCCAATCAGAGCCAAAGAGATCCAGAGAGACTTGGCTGGATACCAGGATCTGGAGCGACCTTGAGAACCATAGCCAGCATGAGACAAGGAGAGGCTGAGTTGTTTCTTTCTTTTTTTTTTTTTAATTAAGGTAAATAACACATAAAACATATAATCTTAGCCATTTTTATGTATAGAGTTCAGCAGTGTTAAGTATATTCACATTGCTGTGAGATAGATCTCCAGAACATTTTCATTTTGCAGAACTGAAACTCTATTTCCATTGAGCAACGACTTTCATTTCTTGTCCCGCCAGCTCCTGGTCACCAGCACCCTGCCTCCTATCTGTGGATTTGACTACTCCGGGTACCTCATGTAAGTGGGATCATACGGCATTTGTCTATTGGTGACTGGCTCACTCCACTTAGCATAATGCCCTCAAGGTTCATCCATGTTGTAAGAGGTGCCAGAATTTCCTTCCTTTTTAAGGCTGAATGACACCCCTTTGTCTGTATATACCACATTTTGTTTTTCTTTTCAGCATCGATGGGCACTTGGGTTGTTTCGACCTCTTGGCTACTGTGATCGAGCTGCTGTGAATATGGGGGTACAAATAGGGGAGCTGGTTTCGAGCCCTGGCTGGGGTTGTACCCTGAACTCTCAGCCCTGTGAGGTGGGCTAGAGCTGGTTGCTTACAGTACAAATGGCCCTAACAACAGAGTTCCCAAAGGGGACAGTGCCAAAGATGCATAAATGCAGCAGAGACTCCAAAGGGCTCTTTGGGTCTGAAAACTAACAATAAAGTATTTTTCCTCTAAAGCTTATTGATTGAGGATGGCTTTAGTTGGAAGGTTGAAGTTTTTCTCAAGTTAGCAGGCCCGCCCTATCAAGGTTTTCTCAGAAAGTACTAATGATACTATAAGGAAACAGGCATGGAAAAGCAAACTAAAAAAAAAGAGAGTCACATTACAAGCTAGCTCTGGGCTGTGCTTACATTAGAAGGTATACGGAGCTCGAGGTCAAGGTCGGTTATCAACAACCCTGTTTTTACAAACATTAGTTTAAAAATACACGCTAATGCCTTTTCTCTTTCTTTTTTTCCTCTTCTGTTCTCTGTGGTTGGTTTTTCTGTATCGTTTTCAAGGGAGCGTATGTTATACTCTGATTTCTTCTACACTCTCTTCAAAATAGCTGGTTGTCAATCACCTGGATTAACTGTGACAATACCCACTGCTGAATTTACATCAGCTTGAACAAGCACTGGTCAATGATTTGCCCAAGAAATCACAATCCATTTTTTTTTTCTTCAGATTATCTACTTGTTCTTTGTGTTATTGCTCCAATATCTGTTTCTAACCCTGTAAAGAATGCAGGTTGAATGCGATATTCTAAAAAAAAAAAAAACAAAAAAAAAACCAAGGTAGTTTGTGCCTGGAGTGCCTACAGGACACATACATTCTGCCAGGAACCCCAGAGGCTGGGGAGAGGTGGGAAAGCAGACCTTGCCCTGGGAGAGCGTGTTGCGTACTCTGCCATGTTGTGTACTCTGCCGTGTTGTGTACTCTGCCGTTCCTAAGTCATCACTGATATGCTAAGGCTGTGAACCACACACGTATGCCAGAGCCTGCACTGTATGCTTCATATATGTGGTCTCGTCTAGTCGCCAGAGTAATCTTGGATTAGGGGGAGCATTTTTACCCCCATTTTTCAGACCAAGAGACTGAAGCTCAGAGAGGTGAAGTGACTGGCCCAAGGTCCCGCAGCCGGGGCGGAGTGAGAACTGTTTGACTCTGAAACCTGTGTTCTTAGAGCTTCTAGGTTATTTGTGGTCATGATTTTCTACCTGCTTTTTACACTCACACACACACACAAAACTTAGGTGATTGGTTAGTAAAGAATAAGAGATTTTTTGAGTTAAAAAAGGAAAATAAGAAATGAGTGGTGTCGTCTACGGCCGTGCCACCCTGAACGAGCCTGATCTCATCTGATCTCGGAAGCTAAGCAGGTTCGAGCCTGGTTAGTACTTGGATGGGAGACCACCTAGGAAGACCAGGTGCTGTAGGTGTAAAAAATAAAAAATAAAAATAAAGGATTGTAAGCTGATAAAGTCCTTGCAATCTGTGAGGTCAACAAAGAGTTGTCTTGCCTAAAAATGAATGAATGAATGAATGAATGAATGCTCATCTGATCTCGGAAGCTAAGCAGGTTCGAGCCTGGTTAGTACTTGGATGGGAGACCACCTAGGAAGACCAGGTGCTGTAGGTGTAAAAAATAAAAAATAAAAATAAAGGATTGTAAGCTGATAAAGTCCTTGCAATCTGTGAGGTCAACAAAGAGTTGTCTTGCCTAAAAATGAATGAATGAATGAATGAATGAATGAATAAATAAATAAAAATGTAAA